CTAATGGATTGCGTTCTGTAGTGAGGAAGTAGGTTTGCTGAGGTAAAGGCTCTTCTGTTTCCTGTAACTGCTTACTAGCTAAATGGAAAGACTCTGCATGGAATATGATAAACAAAGCTCTGGTGACATGCTGCTGCCTCAAAGCATGTAAATAACACTGTTGTTATTTCACTTTCCTGTGCTCACTATATTACTCGACTGCACTGGTTTAATTATTCTACATGCTGACAAAGCATAGGATAGGAAGAAAGATTAGCACTGCAGAATAGCACCATTTCCTTTTGCAAGTATAATGTTTTCAACACAAAAATACATCATCTACCACTGTATCAATGGTCTGAAGTGAATGTGATATAGAACATGCCACAAAGGTTAGCGCATTTGCTCTGATCTGAGGAAGCCACATTTGAGACAAATCTCAAAAGAGCAAAGCTTTCCTGGTCTCTCCCCAGAGCTGGGGAGAGAATGAATGCTGGTTTACTTGGGGAAAAAAGTAGTGGGATCAACACTTCTAGCCAGCATGAAGTTAATCAGCTCCCACCTGTTCCATAAATTGGGGGTCAAATGCACGGATGAATACAATAAGATACCTGCAGCACTTGAGGACTCTGATCTGTCCTAAGGCATCCCTTCAGCTACTGCTGGACTGCTGCTTCCACCAGACCTACCCAGCATAGGGCCACAAATTATGAATCCTTGATCTATTCCACTATATTCCACAAACATCTCACACAGTATTCATCCTCTGGATTCTGCCCACCACAGGATGAATGCTGTGTGAGATGCCCTCTTGCCAAAGAAGTCCTCAGTCAAGACAAATCAGAGCCTCCTGGGACAGGGGCTACTTCCACAGTGCTAGACCTCAAGCATGAGGGAAGTGAGTGCTGCATCCCATACAGAAGTAACACTGTTCCCATGTTAGAGAGTAAGGCAGGGTCTCCTCTCAGTCTGAGAAAGCATGCATGGATAAAAGAACAGGCTACAATCTTACATGAATAGTTAGTGCACTGAGGAGGAGCACATTTGCAAAAGGAAACTCCTTTGAGTTTCAGGGCTTCCTTGGAATCAGTGGTCTTCTCAGAAGGAAGACTTTTTATAAAGTACCTTCAGCCAGTGGCACTAGGGAGCTCACCTTTATAATCCTCAAACCTGGGGAGGGAAGCCCATCCCCTATTCTTGGCAGCCTTCATGAACCCCGGGCACCTATGGCCTCAGTAGGGTCAGGGCACTCCTGAATTTGAACTGCTTTAGACCCTGCCTGTGGTTCCCAACCTTTGATAACTGCAGTTCTTGGACTGCAGTTCCTAGAAAACTTCACCACCAGCAGCGCTGGCCAGGGTTTCTGGGAGCTGCAGTCCAAGAGAACCTGGGTTACCCAAGGTGGAGACCACTGCTCTAGACTAACCTTGCTGGCCTGGCAGGATGCTCCTAGTCTGAATTTGGATTGCTCTGGATGTTGCTTCTGGACTGGCCTTGCTGAACTGCTGTGCTCTTCAACAGGACACTCTTGGTTTGAGCTTGGACTGTCTCACAGTTGCTTATGGTTTGCAGTACCGTACTGCCTTTGCTCCCTGGCTTGAAGAAGGACAGGACCCTTCAATAACAATGTGTTCCATCTGTACCGTGCATACTTAACTAAGAAAACATTTAGACTGAAAGTTTTTTCACTGCCAGTTACAGATATGGCTCATATTACAGTACTTGACAAAGTTAATCACATGAATTGTAGAGCAACAAAACAAAAACAAATGTCTTTTTAAAAGGAACCTTGCTATACGTAGAATCATTTTAGCAACACATGTGAAACTCTGAAATAGTTTCTTATTGATGCCACCCAGCTGTGATTTCCCCTGGGGAAAACAAGTTGGAAGAGTTGTTACAAACAAAATAAGACTAAGAATTTTCTTTAAAAAACCATCTAACATTCTCTCCAGATTATTCACAAGATCAACTATTCTCCACAACTACGAACAGGAATAATATGCTTATTTTATAATATGCTTAGATTTGATTACAGTATTAATACAATTACAGATTCCATAAAGAATGAGGTTAAAGAACAGCAAGTCTGCACCATTTGGAAGCATTCACTGTTCGAAGAAAAGCAACCCCTTTCTTTGTCAATGCCAAGTGAAAGTGACAAGGGGCAAAACCTGACAAATAGATCTTACACAAAGAAATACATGGCACAGGCATATTATTCACGTATGCAAAACTGCTTCCACAAGAAATAGTATAAACAACATATGGAGAAATGTATACAAATCTGAAAATGTAACAAAAGAAGAGAATTATAGATGACATGAAGAAAATGGAAGTTCATATTTGTGACAGAATGTTCTCACAATTTTATGAAAATAGAAAAACCATATACAGTATATAAGTCTTCCTTATAATCTAATAGTATATCCTTGTAAATATGTTTGCTAGCATATGACAAATATACAGTTCTGAATGAAAAAACTCTGAAAGTTAGTTAATAGCACTTTATGAAAAGGAAGGCTAAGTGCTTTACAGGGATTGCCAATACAAGAATTCTTTTGATATTACACAGTTCATTCCTGGCTAAAACTAAATAAACGTTACTTGAATTTCAGTTTTATTGGTGCCAGAGGCACTGACATTTGCCGAAACTGTGGTAGCATTTCAAAACCGACAGCAACAGCCTTGTCACTCTCACTCTGACACACATACCCTCACACAGGGGTATGTACATTTAAAAAAAGCTCCACAATACACAGTTCTCTATGTAGAGTATTTAGCTGAATGTGCTTTACACACAAGGGATTCCAGTTTACTGGAATTACCATTTTGTGCCCTGTTGTGGTGCCTAGGCTGGAAGGCAATATGAGGGCCATGCTTTCCATCGTCAGCAGCTTCAGAACAGCTGGGCCAGTCAAGCCCTCTTGCGACAGGCTGGATCAATGCAGAGGATATGGGACTTCCAGGCAGAAATTTCTGCTCCAGTCTACATGGCCCGTTTCTAGCCATAGAGACCAGGGGTACTCATGAGCAACTCAGCAATTTTCTCAGCTCACCTTCCCCAAATGTTTGTAATCTATTACTTGTAATGGTTTGATTCTAGGTTGCTCTTTTTGATGTTATCTACTCATTTGTAACAACTGTATGGAGGTTTGGGATACTGGGCTAGATCCAGTTTTGGGGGTGTATCCAGTGTTCCATATTTTGGTGGATCACCTAAAAGAATGATGAAAGCCTTAGTGCTCAGATCATGCCTGACTTAAAGAGTTCATTGCCTAGTCTAGCCTTGCTGCCTAGTAACTACAAAGCCTTGTTCTCTGGCAGAACGCCTCTTTCTGACTAGATCTGCCTGCCCTGTAAAATCTTCCCAGGTTGGGTGGTTGAGAGTTCTGACCCCAAGAGAGGCCCAGAAAAAAAATAACCAGAAACCAGAACTGTGGTATGGTCTCCTGCCTGAAACTTGCCGGGCCCCTTCATTGGGAATTTTCAAACTATCATTAAAAACATGGTTATTTAGACAGGCCTCCACAAAAGTTTGTAATCTATTGCCTGTATTACTTGTTCAAACTGGGGGCCAAGGTTACTTTCAACAACCATCCAAACAAACCATTAATGCAAGTTTGAAACTGGCTTGTTCAGGCAGAGAAAGAACAGAAGAAGATATAATACTAAACTATAATTCTGTGTTATGCTTGAATACAGTCAGTGGCTGAAATCCAGTACTAAGTGGATCAGCAGAGACTTGCTGAGTCAACTTCTCCATAGGTTCTCATGATTCAACGGGCCTACTCTAGCTGCACTATTGGATTTTAAACACTGAGTATATGACAAAAACAACATTTGACAGAAAAACTATTTAGTCTTTTAGCTACAATTGCCACTTATGGCAATTAACCTGTCATATTTTTAGAGCAGACATCAGGATAATCCTTTATATGTCTACCCTGAAGTAAGTCCACTGAGTTCAAAAGGACTTACTCTTCAGTGAGTGGGAACAGGACTGCAGTTTTACCAACCAAAGTTAATTATCTGTTTTGTTGTTTGAAAAATCTTTAATAGCAAATTATATATTACATAAAGGAAAATTTTGCAGTATGCATATATTTGCTTCCCCAGGCAGCATGATGCTAAAATAAATAATAATATTACCATATTTTTCCGTGTATAAGATGAGTATCCTGATACAGTCGTGCTTTAACAACTAGATATTCAATCCTCCACCATGACTTTACTATTTTATTTGCAATGTTTTATATTGTCATTATTTTCACTTTGGCTAAATTGTATTGATTATTTCTGTCTTATTCTTCTGTTTCACTGTATTGCATTGTACCATGTTGTATTATTGTAATGTGTAAACCGGCCACAGTGGCCTGGATTGCCAAATGGGCAGTAACTGAATCAAATCAAATCAAATCAAATAAATCAATCAATCCTCTTGAAAGCATCTACAGTGGTGCCTCAACTTATCAACTTAATGATAAGGGGAAAGGGATCAAAGGAATCCTGCAACTGCATGATCGTTTTGATCACTTTCCCCCTTATAAAGCCAGAGGATTACTTTGATCCTTTCCCCCTCCTTTTGCTAAGCCCCATGGGACTTACCAAGCAGAGGGGAAAGCAGGGATCAAAGCAATCCTGCATAGCGCTTTGATCCTTGTTTTCCTTTTGCTAAGGCTTAGCAAGTGGAGGTGAAAGCAAGGATCCAAGCCCTGCAGGATCACTTTGATCCCTGCTTTCTCCTCCACCTGTTTGTGTTCTCTCCTCAGCTGACTTCCATGTATAAGACGACCTTCAATTTTTAGTCTAAAGATTTTAGACAAAAGTATAGTCATACAAGGAAAAATACGGTACTTTCCTACTAGCTTAACTTTAGAGCTGTAATCCAAAAACACAGAATACATACATCTCTTTCCTGCCAGCTTAACTTTAGAGCTGCAATCCAAAAACACAGAATACATACATCTCTAAAGAAAATAAATCTGAGGAAATTAAAAACTAGCTAGGAACTAACATACCGATTGAAGAAGCAAGTAACCACCGCTCCAGCCACAGTCATCTGCTGACATGCTAGAATGAATTCACTTGTCCAGATAAGCCCAACCAAATGGTACCACCACATGTAACGAATGCCAAACCGGATTTTGTATTCTACTTGACCTCTTGAAATGACTTGGGCATCACCTACAAATCAAAAGACAAGAAAACTATTAGTTCAACAAGCATAAGTGTTTTGGAAAATGGCAACAATTCCTCTAATGTACTTTTCCAGAATTCAGCTAGATTCTGTTATCCTCAAATGAATACTCTTAATTTGCTGGTACACTACAATACATGATTAATAGATTTTTGCCTGGCTTGATGGAAGGTCATCCATTGTGCTGATGTAAGTTGGATGAATGGACGAAACTTGCTTTCCAAAAATAAATGTATATAATAAAACTGTACAGATTTTCCCCCTCATTTTTTTTGGAAAGCCAGAGGAGGACATTTTTTCTAGACATATCACTATCAAAAAGTAAGTAAAGAAAATTATTTATTAATTTTTGTTTTAAAAACTTAAAATATATAAAATTGATATTAAAATCTACATTATGTATGAATATCATGTGACACTAACCCCATGTAATAGAATGTCTTTGTAATCCAAAATAGCTCATTTTTAAAAAGTGAATTAGTAAGGAAGCCGGTGGTCACTCATGGAACACCATGGATGCATGAAGACTATTCTGGTTCTTTCTTTATATCAGAGTCACATCCAAAATATTACTTGTATAGACCGGAGGACCCATTAGGGCAGGAGCAGAGTTCACTACAAAGTAAATGTAGCCAGAAGTGAAATGACCAATCTCATCAGGAATGTAGGAAGTGTTCCCTACTCGTTAATGGAGTGGGTAAGAACATATTCTAACCGTTTTGTTTTAGTTCATCACCAACAGAGAGGAACAGTCTACAATAAACATTATACTCTTAACTAGAATGAGTTTAGAACTGCTTACCGCCAGGTCACCTTGAACACACTCCAATTTTGGGTGTTAAGAAGGGTCAGGATTTGGATAAGGGTTGGCGAGCAGGGATCTCCAAGTAAGGCAAGGAAATCCTGCCTGAAACTCTGCATTGCCACTGGCAATTAGAATTGACAGTACTGGACCAGGCAGGCCAATGGTCTGACTCAGTAGAAGGCAGCTTCCTAAATTCATGAAAAATGACAATGACAAAGATTCTTGTGGCTCCTTAAAGACTACTAGGTTTTATTTGGCATTAGCTTTTGTGATCTGTGACCCACTTCCTCAACTGTGATGCATATCTAACAGAGGCCAAATTTCCATTAGAGAGCAAGCCAAATAAAACACAGAATGGGCTGTAGCAACAGGAATCCGTACTTGTGCTTCCAGAAGGCAACTTTCATTTATTGGAAAGCAGGGTGGACAAAAATCAATGATTTATAAAATTTAAATCATTAAAAAAAATTATGATTTTTTAAAAATTTAAATTGTGATTTAAATCAAGATGATTTAAACCAAATCCACCCTGTTAGAAAGCAAATGAACATTATGAAAAAGATAAGGTATTGAAAATATCCATGCTTGCCTTTGAGTAACTTGACTAGAGATTGAAAATGTAAATTCATTTTCCAAAAAAAAAAGACATAGAAATAGCAGCCACCTATTCCATTATGTCTAAATGAAGCCTTAACTGCAGACATTAATACAGATTATATGAGGTTTGACAGCCTCTAATGGTGAAGTGAAGAGGGAACGAAGGGGGTTGCAGGCACAGTGTCTTGGAAATTTGTTTTCATTCTTAGAAGCCAAGTATGTGACCTTCAGGGGAAGGACACACCCGCTCAGTGACAAGGCTCCCGCTCCAAGGACAGCCTGTGAAAAGTGTTTCCTTGCAATCATATCTAAAACCACAAAACGCCAGGACCAGAGACAAAAGGTCTAAATGACGACTTGGCTTATTTACAACAGACATATTCTTTAAGTCAGTTATACAGCAATGCTCAAAACCTTTTGCCGACAGAATATGAAAGCTAGTGTGGTATAGTGAACAGAGTGTGAGACTAGATCTGTATTTAAATTCCTACGTGGATTTATATCATATAATTATATTAGCACAGTGCAGTAGGGTATTATTAATTGCTTATGGCTGTAAACAGGGATGTCACTAAGGGTGCCACTGAATTCTCCCCCCCCCCCCCCCAATCCAAAAAAACCTTTTCGGCTTAAAATACAGAAGCCCTGCAGCTGCCTTGAATGTGTGATGGCATGCCCATCATGGACACAAAGTATCATTGCTGACTATCCATCACAGACAAATGGTAATAAAGAAATAATTCATTTTCTTGAAGAAGAGGAAGGTGATCAAATGGCAATTAAAATTGGTCACCTGCTGAAAGTGAAGCAATGTTACATTTTTCCTGGCTATATCTGTGTATGCTGCATTCCACTTCCAAATGCAAATTTATTCAATAATATTGCTAGTCCTCCAAGCCTGTCAGGATCCTGCCCAAATACTGTAGTAACCTGGGCTCAGATTCTAACTCATACAAAAGGGATGCAGCCAGACCCATTGGACCAGTGTCTCCGGAGCCTGAGAAGCTGAAAAGAAACCTGTGCCAAAGAGCATAACTGGGATTGTGCTGGAGCCAAAGCATAACCCTGTCACATTCAGAGTCCCTGAGTCAAAGATATCTAAATTATGGCCTTGGGAATCTGAACACCATGAGCACTTCCTCCATGCAAGTGATCGATGTCCACACACTGGCCTATGAATGGCAGTAATGCACTTAGAGGGAATACACGGGGTGGGGTGGGGAATGAATGCTAGAGTTTAAAATATATGGGCCTCTAGGGGGAAGCACTTAGAAGGATGTTCTGGGTCTGGAAGTATGAAAGCCTTCAGTCAAGTCCCAGATATTATTTGAGGAACCTGGCTGCCTAGAGCTTCTCATGATCCTGCCAATATCGGGCTGTCTTGCCTCATGGACTTCTGTCTAGTCAAGCTCAGGGTAAAACCAAGTTTTAAGATACAGTATTTGGAATAAGCAGTGAATGAGTTCATCAGCTCTTTCCTACTACTGTCTTTCCTACTTTCTGGTCTCCTCAAGCCACAGCGGCCTTATAACAACCAGATTTCTCTATGCAGGCTTGCATATGATATTTGATTGAAGCCTGGAGGGTTTAGATCACTAGACATCTGGTGATCACTGCTACATCCACAGGAACAAGCAGCATGTTTTAAAGTGAGAAGGAGAGAGGAAGAGAGCAAAGAAGGCCTATCTTTATAGCAGACCACAGGGGAGAAGTTCCCATTCAAGTCTCTGAGAGGAGATCATTGCTCCTATCTTACACCACAATTTAAATGATTCAGAATAAGACTAGCTGTCCACTTTTGCTTATAAAGGTAAAGGTAAAGGTTCCCCTTGAGATTTAGTCCAGTTGTGTCCGACTCTAGGGGGCGGGGCTCATCCCTGTTTCCAAGCCACAGAGCCAGCGTTTGTCTGAAGACAGTTTCCATGGTCACGTGGCTAGCACAACTAGACACGGAACGCCGTTACCTTCCCACCGTGGGGGTACCTATTTAGCTACTCACATTTACATGCTTTCAAACTGCTAGGTTGGCAGGAGCTGGGACGAGTGACGGGAGCTCACTCCGTTGTGTGGATTTGATCTTCTGACTGCTGGTCTTCTGACCTTGCAGCACAGAGGCTTCTGCGGTTTAACCCGCAGTGCCAGCACATCTCTGTCACTTTTGCTTATAAACAAGAGCAAATATCTTCTTCATTTCTTTCACTCATTTTTTACCACAACAATCCATTGTGCAAGCAGTTGTGTTTTTATGGAACTTGCATCCATCTACACAAGTGAAAGGTCTTGCTATTGTAAATGGGTGATCTCTGTTTGCAGTACGGCAAGTTGCAGATCATGTGGGAGCTCCATAGGCAAAGCATTACATTCCAACAGGATAGGGACAAACAAAAATGCAGCAAGATCTCTTACTGGAAGACAATGCCCATACACCAGCAGGTATCTAGGAACGTCCACCAAGTGCCAAAAACTTTCCAAATGTTGCCTGACACTTATTGGAACACAATTTTTCCCATCTCATAGAAAGTAAATGTCCATGTTATACTATTATCCTAATATTCATAATCTGCCTCAACAAATAAAATAGTACATGATGTATGATACCATGTTTGTAATGCTTAATTTCAGAGGTGAAATACTTTCCCCTATGATTTTCACTTTTATAGAGATTACTTTCGTTTGCCTGTTTATAGTTTAAACACATATTCTGCCTTTCTGAATAGGAGTATCTAGGTCACTTGTAAAGCAAAGCAAAACAAAACAAATCTCTTATAAAATGAAGCAATATAAAAAACAACTGATTAATAAATCAGCAATTAAAAACACGAATTCCTGCAACAGATGAAACAGATCAGTCCGACAGGCTAAAGGGCTGTATAAATAAAAGGTATTTTACCTGTAATCAGACAATGACAAGGGAAGGGACTAAATGGAAACTCAAAAAGGTGGACAAATTTTCTGATCCTAAAATGGGTAATGCTAGGCAGCAAGGTGCACTTGCTTTAGAATGTGACAGAAAAGCAACATGCAACATTAATAGTTTGAGCGAGATCACCAATTTAGTCCTACCTCATGCTGAGGCATGTTTGCAGATGGGGAAATTTGCTGACATCTGATATACTATCAGATACAGCACAACTAGTACTAATGGGGATACTTGTCCAATGAAGTACAATCGTGACTTGACCGAAGGGCAACTCCTGTGACCTCATTCCAGAATGCTTTTCCATGTGCAAATTTCTGGTTACACAGCCATCTACTGAATTAGTGTGGCAGAAATTACTTCATCCTGTTTTGTAATATGATGACTTGAACAGAAGCAGTATTAAATGCTTCGTGTCCTTTACCATGCACTTAAGAAAATATTATTTTTGAGTGATCACTTCTATGCAGTAACATTGTAGCTTGTATATTACAATTATACATACTACCTGACGATTAAAATAAATAAGTTCTACAGTGCAACAAGTAATCTCTTGACACTCTTTTTAAACAAAAGCAAATATTGCTCACAGTAGCTTGCCTCTTAAACTATACAGTACTCATTTACACTCATAATCCACATAATTATCTTGTGCATTATTGGAATACAGTTGCCTCCCTTTTCTCTACTAATTATTTTCTTAAGGGAAAAATAATTGATTATGTTTTCTTGTTATGTCAAGACCCATATGTTAAGAAATGTAGATTCACTATAATCATCTTTCTAACTCTAAATTACTATTATTTATGATTCCACAAATGAGACTAAAGAAAAACAAATGCAGTTTTCATCCTGAGGCCAACTGCAGCAGATAAAAAGAAGAAGTAAGGCTCAGAACCCAATGGAAGGCTGGGCAAATCCCAGTTTGGGGCAGCAACAGCCAACATCTATTATGAGCATTCAAGAAAGCAACACCAAACAGGTATAGCATTTTAAATCAGGAGGAGGCAAGGTCTTTCAAGCAACACAAGGTCAACAGAGGAACTTTGTTTAAGGCTGAACATGATTAGGTTTTATCTGAATATTTTATATCTGCTCACTCACTTAGCATTCACATATAGCAGGTAAATGTGTCCACAATACAAATAACTTAAACCTACATATACATGTTGTGCAGATTATTTTCATCTGAAGGTATACAAGTATTTACAAGAGTTGCTAAGCTCATGGTACGTGTGGTGGGGGAGGATGCCTCCTCTCAAAGTTATGGGATGGACCATCTTGCTATCCAATTATGAACAGTCTGAGTATTTGTATAGCAAAAAGGAAATGCTTAATAGTGTAGTGCATCATGGTATCATAGAAAAGAAGTTTACTGACCTGCAGTTCCTAAGCTAAGTAACACAGCTACCCAGTACACCCAGAATAAAATTAGTATTATGAAAGTCCAAAGAGGCTGCCAGAACACAGAAGGGACATTGCCAGTTATTTTATTGGCAACTTGGAACATGTGTATAGTCAGGTGAATGTTCTTCCTTAATGTGAGTATCAGGAAAATTAAAATAACCTACAAAAAGAAAGAAAATAATACTTTATAATATTTCACTTCCCAAATTAGCAACATGTGACATGGGAAATACATTATAATTTCAGTATCAGCCAGAATCATAATATTGTTTTTATAACATTCTTCTGTAAAAAATATACAGAAATATGGTTTCTGTTCCATAGATTTTAGGTACAAAAGAGACTGATAAGCTCAGTAATTTACTAAATTCTTCGTTAGAACGCTTATTTTAGGCATTACAGACAAAAAATATAAAAAATAAAAATAAAACAATAAATAAAAAAGACAAAAACCTTGTGACACCTTAAAGATTACCGTATTTTTCCATGTATAAGACTATACTTTTATCTAAAATCTTTAGACTAAAAATTGAGGGTCATCTTATACACTGAAGTAAGGGGGAAAGGGATCAAAGTGCTACAGGATTGCAGCCCTTTGATCCTGCAGCCCTTTGATCGCTGCTTTCCCCTCCACTTCCTAAGATTGCTGCTTCCCCCCTCCACTTCCACAGCCCTTTGATCCTGTTTCATGGCGCTTAGGAAGTGGAGGGGGAAAGCAGTGATCAAATTTTCTAATTTGGGGTTAGAAAACTGGGAGTTGTTTTTTACACTGGATCACCTTATACACGGAAAAATACGGTATATTTTAATGTGAGCTTTCATGGATAAAATCTACTTCCTCAGGAAAAACACTACTAAAACAAAATCAAAGAGACCTGTCATGTTTATGGATAAACGAAAGCCATGCAAAGGTACACAAAGTCATGCCCTGTTTGAGCTTCTTGTGCAGTAAAATGCCTCTGTGCCTCAGTTTCAAACAAGCAGGGCAAGAAAGGTATGTAAAAACAAGACTGTTAAAAACAAGCCATCCTCTCCAAGCGTAACTGCTGCCCTCTTGTGCCAGTAACAGGGTAAGCTAGGCAACGGAATTCTCTCTCATGCATTCCTACCGCCTCCTGAAGCCTCCATATAGAGGCTCATCGAATTTGAAGGTAGAACACAAATGTCTATAATGAAGCATTACAATCCATATATACACCTGTTCATTATCTCTCTGCTGTACCTAGCATGGCACTAGACATACCATATATAACTCATGTGAATTATTTGTAATATATGAGCAATGAACAAACATATCTGGGGCAATCTTCTGAAAATCATGGATTAGAATAATTTGCAGATTGCTTCAAAAATTAATATCATATATTACATATTAAAATAAGTTCAGGTGTTGACAATGAATCTCATTCAGCTACAGGTACGTGAGATACACACATTAATTTAAAAAGCAACAGCCTGCCTGGAAGTACAACTCTTATACCCTATTTTCACATGCAATGGCCAAGGCTGACTTCTCCAACCTAATGTCATCAGAATGTCCCGGACTACAACACACATAGTGCATGAATAAAGACAGGAGTTCAGGCCAACATATCTGGAAGGCATCAGGCCCAGGAGACTACGACCAGCACAACTGCTAGCCTTCACTCTTCAATACTGGTTGGAGAACAAGGCCAAGGTGGCTAGTGAACATTACTGCCCAATGATTATGACAAGGGAGGATATTCACTTTGGTACCCTGTTTCCCTGAAAATAAGACCTAACCTGAAAATAAGCCCCAGTATGATTTTTCAGGATGCTCGTAATATAAGCCCTATCCCAAAAATAAGCCCCAGTTAAGTCAAACCTTGCCCTCCACCATTGTGCAGAAAACAGAAGAAGATGGCATGACTGTACTTGAATAAATGTAGATTGTTGTACATGAAAAAAAACATTCCCTGAAAATAAGCCCTACTGCTTTTTTGGAGCAAAATTTAATATAAGACCCTGTCTTATTTTTGGGGGGAAACGGTATTAGTGCTGGGGTTAATACATTTGTGCAGAAGCTCCTTAGGGGCTTGTGGTCAATTTGTATTTGCTGTGGCTTGGGAAATCAGTCTGCTTTATCACATGAACTCTTGCTGCCGCCACCCCAGAAAATAAGGTCCAGCCTTCAAAATTACATTGTTCTGAAAACATGCCACCTTAACCTGTGCTGAACAAATTGCACAAATAATGGTTGCTGTGGGTTTTTCGGGCTCTTTGGCCGTGTTCTGAAGGTTGTTCTTCTTAACATTTTGCCAGTCTCTGTGGCCGGCATCTTCAGAGGACAGCACTCTGTGCTCTGGTGTAGTAGGCTTGGGAGCAACAAAACCAGAGCACAGAGAGCTGTCCTCTGAAGATACTGGCCACAGAGACTGGCGAAATGTTAGGAAGAACAACCTTCAGAACACAGCCAAAGAGCCTGAAAAACCCACAAAAATCATTAGATCCCGGCCGTGAAAGCCTTCGCGAATACATTGCACAAATAATGATTATGATAAAGTATCTTACCGTAATAAGCGTAGATACAATAGAAAGACCAAGTAATAATTTCATATTTTCTTTTTCAGTTTCTAATTCTATGTTGGGTTCATTGGTGTAATCATAATATAGCCACCACATAATTCCTGAAACAACTAGAACAAATACAGACATACAGGCAATTTTTATTTAAACTGGAAAGACATAAGATACTTAGGTATACCTACCACTAAACAGATATTTGAAATGATGGGCAGATTTATCTGCCAATTCCAAACAAATTGAAAACTTACACTGGCACAAAATGATAGGCTACAGAATTTATACGATATACTTGAATGAGCAGTAGAGTCATTCTGGCATAAAAATGGATGGGTGCAGCATCGATTGGCAAACTTAAAACAAAATAATTATCTGCTGCAGTCTGTGACAAATATTCTGAAAAATGTAAATGAAAATTATTTACTACAACAGCAAATAAAGAAATTCTGTAGGTGTCATACTAATTTTTATCCATAAACAAGAAGCAAATCTTTACAAAACCCAAAGGCTGAGATACTGACTCAAGCAATTTTGTGAGAAATTTAGCTTTAAGGTTTTTACAACTGGCAGTGTAGTTGTTTAAGGGGGCGTTTTCAAATTTGTGTGTATACAATTAGGCTGTCTGAAGCAGAATTCCTTATCCCCACCCCACCCACAAAAATCACTCCAGCCCCCAAAACATTATCCAGAGTGTTGCCGGACCCTAGTGAAGAAGGTGGCAAGGTAGAATGTCATGAAGGGAAAAGAGGAAGGAGTGTGTGAAAATCAAGTAAAAACATCCCTTGGAAATAAAGCGGGATCTCTGTTACAATACAGCTATTTTTTATCCTCCTCTGCTTACCCATGGGACTTAGCTGGAACTTCTGAAAACTTGAACTTCTGAAAATTCATCATCAACAAACGTAACTGAAAGTTTAATACTGGAAAAACTATCCCCAGAACATGGAATCTGAGGTCATTTAAGTATCCTTTTTGTTCATGATCCATTAAGATAAGAACAGCACAAGAAAATATGAGAGGAAGAGATTATTTCAATGTCAGGTTCTGTTCCCCAAACAATCTCTTAGGGCAACTTTTTTTCAGCTATCAAGAAGATGTGGGGAGGGAAACTGGCCCTGAGGAACAACCTGGCAAGTAGCTGTGGCATCTGGCTCTTGGTAAAATCAAGTTAGCTTCAATTTCCACAGAAAGTGAGGCAATTATGAGGCAAATACCTGTATTTCCATAGACAGTTGGTTACTGGAGCTAGTCCCCAAGTGAATAGACAAATGAGAAGTTGTGGGACCCAGCCCTTGGCTAAAATAGCGGATGAGTTGGTCCAAACCTCATCAGGATGGATAGATCACTAGCCAAATTGAGTTGGGGTGACAAGCAACAACCTTCTTCGCCTGCACCATCTCACTTTGTCGGTGTGTACAGAGGACGCTGATTGCTAGAATACTTGCCCATGGCATTGGGATTGTTCCCATGGTACTGCTCTATGATGCTGATTTGGCAAGGCTGTCCAGTGAAAAATGGACCAGGAGGCAGCAGAACAACAAATAGCAATAGCCTTCATGCCTTTTACTAATGTTCTTTCTGATTATCTCTGGGAGGCTCTTCCTAATCAGGCTAACCTCTTGATCTTGCCTCCCTTTTGGCTTGGGAAGCACAACAAAGATGTTCCTGTTTTCCTTTTTCTCAGCAAAACTATTCTCCTTCCCAGCCCACACCTCAACCAGCCACAAGTATGACTCCTCTTCATTGCCAGTCGACTAGCTGTCAGTGCAGAATCAGCTGCTAAGAGAGAGGCATTCCTTCCACTGATTCCCTGCCACATTCCTCTTGCAGGCTGCACAGTAGGGCACAGACAAGTTGAGGCTTTTCTCCTGCTCACAGCAGATACCCAAACTAGGGTCAGATTATAATCTGTTACAGTTTCTCTCTCATTTAAAAGGGTGTTCTGCAATTCTAAGATTATTAAAATTAAAATTATTATAGAATGTCTAGAACAATTACAATTTCAATTTCTAAGGTGGAATTCTGAAACCAGTGCAAGGCAAAAATGTATATCCTATTAAGTGCAGTATCCAGAGACACTATATTAAGGCTATATTCTAATTTACCTATAAATGTTCTCAGATGCTGTAGTTCAGGCATTAAAATCACTCTATAAGAATACTTCTGGATTTGAAGTACGTGGAAAATGTCTCCAAAACTTTACTTAACTCAACTTGAGACAATATGTCCCAATTGTCTATTCTTATAAGAGAAATTGTAAATTTTGATTATCTTCTGTTTCTATGATTTTGCATTTTTCTTTCAATTTCAGCAGAAACTGAATTGCCATTCTACTCCTTGACAGCCCATCTCATCAATTTTAACCAGTCAACCCAACCAAGGAAATAAAATGCTGCTTTATTTGCACCAGAGTGACATTATTTTAAAAGTCTGACATCATTTAAAATGAAAGCTGTCTACAGATGGTTCAAATGAGCTCACAATATTCCAGTAAAGTAATAATACAGTGGTGCCTCGCTAGACGATTGCCTCGCGGGACGAAAAACCCGCAAGACGATTGGTTGTTGCTATCACTATGGCGCCTAGCAAGACTTTTTTTCTATGACCGTGCTTTGCAAGACAGTTTTTTTCGAGACCGATGCTTCAATTTTTAGACCGATGCTTCGCAAGATGATTTTTTTTTTTGAGACCGATGCAGAGGGAACCTCGCAAGATGATTTTTTCAAAAGACGATGATTTTCGCAGAACAAATTAAAATCATTTTGCGAGGCACCACTGTATCAGTATTAGAGTGCACTGACATGTTTATTAGCCATTGTACCATTCTCCCCTGGCAAAATCCACCTGGTGAAAATCTGAATGTTGTTTGAATGCAAAATATCAGTCTTCTATTGCAATGGTTCTATACAAGAAGTGATGCAATTTGCGGGGGAGGGGTGTCATACGTGTAAAATTGTCAAAAGCAACAGGAAGATAGCAGGAGCTCCACATAGCCTCCCAGGGAGGTCTTTCTCCTAGCCATCCTATCAGAGATTCGTTCAATTTGAAGAACCAGACCAGTAACTGCATTTACTTGCACTGAGCTACAAATCTTCCCCAGAATATAATTAACTTGCTAGCAGATACCTAAGAAGAACTGCTGTTTCTTATCTTTTTAATTACACAGTCTCTACACAGTGCTTTTAGAATAAACTTATATGCATACAGTGCTGCTGCATGTATGAGATGGTATTTTAATTCTGGGACCACCCCTTCTTTCAACAGATCCTCAGAACGATGAGGGATCTTTTGTGGGAAGATGGTCCTGGAAGGAGGAGGTTAATAAGCCCTCATACGCGTATAGAACCCTGACATGATATTCTGTGTTCAGCTTTAATAAGTACACTTTACATCAAAGGGATCAATACTTACATAATAATCCAAACACAAGCAGTGTAAGAAAAATACGAATCAGAAGCATGCTGATGAACCTGAAGACTACCATCATTATTACTGAGAAGGCTGCAATTGGAAAAACAACATGGTCCAATGGTTGACTTCTGCATCACATTCTCATAACAGCTTGTAAGATCATTTTAGTTATGCTTGCCTGAAGACTCTGATTTTTCTGACTGTCCTGTCATTTTGAGTGCCAAAATACCACTGAATACGGAGGGATGCAGGTACATTTACTCTGAGCATGACTGAAGCCTTTGATAGAAATAATGCTACCAGGTCCTACAGTCTAATTTTGCATTTATGTGTGGACTCAACACAAAAATAGGTTTATTTAAAGCCCCCTCTAAATCAGTGGGATATTTCTATGAGCATTCGCCAACATCCTGGTTGATGATATCAGAGACCCATGATCACCAAGCCTTCTATTCTGCACAAATCATCCATTTCCCCTTCATTTGCATTCACAACCAGCACTCTATCCTGTTCATCTTCCGCTGTCATACCAGAATACATGGATTCAGAATGCATATAGAGTTTTTAAACATTATATTAACTGCAAAATTCTGAAAGAGATACTAATTAACTAGTTTGGATAAATAGCTTGATAAAGTTTGGGATACTGTAATAATGGACAAAATGCTAACTTGGTTAAAATGCAGGACTATAACACTGAAATCATAATAATTACATGTCTGACATATAAGAGCAAGGGCAACAACAACATACATTATTAACGTTTATTTTTCTGTTTTAGTCCTTATTTAGATCCTCTACTTCACATTATTTAATTGAATCGACTACAAATATTCATTTAACTCTTGATAGGATGCCTGTGCCTACAGTCTTCCACTTCAAAAAACTGCTCTAAAGAGAGCTGCCACTAAAAATAATCCAGAGTTCAGAAGACTTTTTATTTTTAATACTATAGTTGACCAGTTTGGTGAGAAAACTCTGGAATAAGTAATCAAATAAGCTAATTTTTCCAAGCTGTATAATTACAGTACCCTCCCACCTTCATTCAGGCAGGGAAGCATCTCCTTTGCTCCAAACCTTGGAAGCTTTATTCAGATGTTCGCCTGAATGAGTAAAAGGGGTTCTCCCTTTGGTGATGACACACGTTAAGCCATGTCCTGCATGATCCTCCTACCTGCAAGTCAACCACACTTTCACCTTCACCCGTTCAATAAGAAGGCCTGGAGAGGAGCTTGTAACTGCATATACTGTAGATGAAAGTACAGTACTTAAGAGAGCGCCCCTTATGGGCATCTCTTCAAGATTTATTCACTGATGGAAGTTCTTTACATTTATTCAACTGAACATTCTTGCAAGCACTTCTTCAGACATATTCGCGAAGGCTTTCACAGCCGGGATCTAATGGTTGTTGTGGGTTTTTCGGGCTCTTTGGCTGTGTTCTGAAAGTTGTTCTTCCTAATG